CTTGCTTTGTCTTTCAAGTATGGAGCGCAGTCAATTTGGAGCAAAGTGCAAAGCCTAGACACAGCTCCAACCTCCAACATTTCCTGAAGCACTATGTTGGTTCCTGAGTACTTGCAGATCAAAGAAAAGATCAAAATGGCTCGGTCGTCTGCAGACGGCGAAACCCTCAAGAGTCTCTTCGACACAACACAGATGCCTCCTTTGTGGCTCAGAAACTGAGCCCACCCATCAAAACAAGAACACATGTGAAACAATATTCCCAAAATGAGCTCTGTGGTTTTCTTTTCAGGTGCTTCAAACTCAAGCTCAATGAGCTCGTAAACCGCCCCAGCGTCGACCATCTTGATTCGGTTTCTTTCCCATGGACAAGCGTCTAACATGATATGTAGAGCTGCGTTTGTCCCTTGTTGCGTAATTCCGTTTCTCAAAACCCCAACAAGTTTCTTGAAGAAATCAGGGTTCAGAGTTTCTAGCACACTTGAGTGTGCCTTTTGGATCATCGATTTTAGTACCAAGACTGCATGTGTGCTCACCGCGATTTGATTCTGCAATTTGCAACCAAAAACCCACGTCAACGAATCGATAATCTGATCGTTTTCCATGAAAAGAAGACACAGTTCTTCAGATGAAATCTGGACAAAGTGAAGTATGCTAAGGGCTTCTTCAAGGCCATCAACCAGACCTTCCTTATAACACCTGTTTGCGATGAACAACAAGATGGCCTTAGCTACCCCAGCGTCAACCAAGTACTTCCTATTCCCTTCACTTTCGGTCGCGAGGAACTCGATTTTTCGAATGATTTTCAGTTGGAGCTTAGGGTTCCAGAAGTCCTTGAGGAGCTTAAGGACTTGAGCCTTATCCAGAGGCGGTTTCGGGGTTGGTATTCGATCAATGCCATGAGACGCATTGTCAGTGCACCAAGCCTGAATTAAGCGGCGTAAGGTGTGGTTAGGAGTTAATTCTGAGTCTCTTGGGAGAGGCTGTTTAGTGACGGGGCATGTGGTGTTCTTGCTCTGGAAAAGCCAGTGCTCGATGCTGTACCGGTCATATGTGATGCCGGTAATGGCCGTCACAGGGTCTTGCATGATCTGAAGAGATATTGGGCAGACGAAATACTGAGGAACTTCAATATCATCCATGAAAAAAAAATGTGTAAGTTGGTGGAGAAGAAGATGAAGAATTAACAAGAACAGAAGTTGATAGATCTAGAGGGGATAAGAATTAAGAAGAGCTAGCTTGATCAAACGGGATTAAATGATGAAGAAATTAATAATTCAAATATTCCATTGAGTGTGGAAGGAGGAAGTTTTGGTTTTGTGGTGGTAAGAGTATGCGGCTATATATTTGACTCTTGAGTTTTCTTAAGCAATTTTTTCTGGAGGTTCATATTTATATACATACGTACATGTCTTCCATAGATTTTTATCTGAGTTGAGTTTAAAGAAACATACCAAGATATTATATGACTTCAATTAGCTGGGTTAGAGGGTATAACTACCTAGACTAGAGGTAATTTGTGGATTTAATTACCTAGACCAGAGGTAATTTATGGGTTTAATTACTTGCATACTGCATACGAGGTGTATGCATAGGTACCTTACCTATTGTTAAGGTATGAAGTTTTTATGAACTCTTATTACAAATTTTGATGTCGTTAAATTCTGTTTATTTCCGTAACTATTTTTGACTTTTGGTCTGTGTTGTGTTCTTTGTTTTTCTGTGCTGAATCCAACCGTATAAAGAACTTGAAATTTGGATAAACGGTTGAAAAGTTATAGGTCAAAAACTGGACAGAGGTCGAAGTTGAAAAACAGAGAAACGAATCTGTCCAAATGGTGATAAAAGGGTGATAGAAAGTGCTGTTTGTGTTTTTCTTTGGTTTCTTGTTTTGTTTCTTTTCTTTTACCTTTCTTTACTCATTTTTAGTTTCCAATTTGTATTGTGCTTTTGTGTTGTGTTAAATAAGTGTTCTTTACGTACTCAAATTAGAACTTGTAGGAAGCCGATAGTTCTTCGTGGAATCGACCCCGTACTTACATAATCTATACCTCATAATTCGTGCACTTGCGGGTATTTTTAATTGGTTGTTTGCACATTTATTTGTGTCAATTATGAATACAACAAGACACGTGACCACTCCAGCTCATTCAGTACACCTCAGCAACAATACTGTTAACAACAACGAGCGGGGTAGGGGCCGAGTATTGCAATACCAATCCCATCCGCGCTTCCCATCCCTGCCCATGTCCCCTCCCCCATCCCCGTTTAAGAGGTTTTGGGGAATCCCCGTAGAGGGATATCCCCCATCCCCATCCCCGCCCTGAATCCTTGATTCTTCCAAAACAAAATTGCAGGTCTGATCTTGAATAGCTAAGGCATCTAAAAATCCAAAATTTATCAAATCATAGCAATTATAACTTTGCATCTATTTCCACTTATCAACCATGTTTATATGATCAAGTAATATGAACACTCGGTTGCATTTGATCATCTGGGATGGAGAGAAATACCAAGACAAGGACACTTCTTCCACTCCTCATAATGTGATCTCAGGATTTGCCTTGCTTTGTCTTTCAAGTATGGAGCGCAGTCAATTTGGAGCAAAGTGCAAAGCCTAGACACAGCTCCAACCTCCAACATTTCCTGAAGCACTATGTTGGTTCCTGAGTACTTGCAGATCAAAGAAAGGATCAAAATGGCTCGGTCGTCTGCAGACGGTGAAACCCTCAAGAGTTTCTTCGACACAACAAAGATGCCTCCTTTGTGGCTCAGAAACTGAGCCCTCCCATCAGCACAAGAACACAAGTGAAACAATATTCCCAAAATGAGCTCTGTGGTTTTCTTTTCAGGTGCTTCAAACTCAAGCTCAATGAGCTCGTAAACCGCCCCAGCGTCGACCATCTTGATTCGGTTTCTTTCCCATGGACAAGCGTCTAACATGATATGTAGAGCTGCGTTTGTCCCTTGTTGCGTAACTCCGTTTCTCAAAACCCCAACAAGTTTCTTGAAGAAATCAGGGTTCAGAGTTTCTAGCACACTTGAGTTTGCCTTTTGGATAATCGATTTTAGTACCAAGACTGCATGTGTGCTCACCGCGATTTGATTCTGCAATTTGCAACCAAAAACCCACGTCAACGAATCGATAATCTGATCGTTTTCCATGAAAAGAAGACTTAGTTCTTCGGATGAAATCCGAACAAAGTGAAGTATGCTAAGGGCTTCTTCAAGGCCATCAACCAGACCTTCCTTATAACACCTGTTTGCGATGAACAACAAGATGGCCTTAGCTACCCCAGCGTCAACCAAGTACTTCCTATTCCCTTCACTTTCGGTCGCGAGGAACTCGATTTTTCGAATGATTTTCAGTTGGAGCTTAGGGTTCCAGAAGTCCTTGAGGAGCTTAAGGACTTGAGCCTTATCCAGAGGCGGTTTCGGGGTTGGTATTCGATCAATGCCATGAGACGCATTGTCAGTGCACCAAGCCTGAATTAAGCGGCGTAAGGTGTGGTTAGGGGTTAATTCTGAGTCTCTTGGGAGAGGCTGTTTGGTGACGGGGCATGTGGTGTTCTTGCTCTGGAAAAGCCAGTGCTCGATGCTGTACCGGTCATATGTGATGCCGGTAATGGCCGTCACAGGGTCTTGCATGATCTGAAGAGATATTGGGCAGACGAAATACTGAGGAACTTCAATATCATCCATGAAAAAAAAATGTGTAAGTTGGTGGAGAAGAAGATGAAGAATTAACAAGAACAGAAGTTGATAGATCTAGAGGGGATAAGAATTAAGAAGAGCTAGCTTGATCAAACGGGATTAAATGATGAAGAAATTAATAATTCAAATATTCCATTGAGTGTGGAAGGAGGAAGTTTTGGTTTTGTGGTGGTAAGAGTATGCGGCTATATATTTGACCAAGGAGAGATCTAGAGAGGGAGAGAGTTGTATGAGTAGTTTGGTCTTTAAATCTTGGTGGTCTTCATGCTTATATTTATGGTGAAGTCTCATGGGGGCAATTGGATTGTACCAGTAAGAGATGCCTAATCCATTCCAAGGCCAGCGTTGAGTGGTCAAAAGGGAAGAAAGTTGTGGCCAGAGCCTCTCAAAAATTAAAAAGAACACGGAATGCTGAAGAGCAAGGGATTGGGACCCTTTTGATTTGAAGCTTCTTTTTTTAATCGAGTCAAGGCCAATAAAAATAAAAAAAAGGAACCAAAAACTAAACCGACTTGTATCATTTTTTTATTAACCTCTCTCTATTAAACTTACAAAGGCTTCTACTACTGGATTTTCTTTTTACTGCAGGATAGCACGTTCATCAATCTGTAAGCCTAACCGATCACAATATATATAAGATCATTATATTATCACAAACCAATTGATTGACTCCTTAATTTGAACTTTCCAACTGCTCAAATGATAAGAATTAAAACATACAATATAAGTTTTTCACTGCAATCTTATCAATCAACTCCATCAGTAATATCGGATCAAAAAGTAAAAATACCAATAACAAAGACATTGTCCATTTTGGTTAGCTGAGTATAGCTCAGTTGTTGATTTAGCTTTTCCACCTTTATTCATGTGGGTAGACGTTCAAAACCCCTGTGCCCTCAATGAATATTTGTATAAACCCCCCCGTAAATATCAATAAATTGAAATAGGCATGTAATCTCTTATGTGGCACAAAAGTCAAAGGACTTGGATCAACAACAATTTCTGTGTGGATTGCATCCAAAATCTCTCCTCATAATTGGACTTATGCCAAATTTTCTATAAAAACAATGAGTCAAAAAGAGTTCCAAAAAAGAGAAGATGGATCAAGGTAATTTGCCCTTAAACAACAATATTATAAGTTATTGCCAAGATTCTCATAAGAAGTACAAATTATTGCAAAAATTAATCTAAGTACAGATTGCATGCTCTTTCTTTCTTTTTTAATTTCTTTGTTCAACAATTTCATTTTATATATAGATAATATAATAGTTACATGATCAAAGTAATATGAACACTCGGTTGCATTTGATCATCTGGGATGGAAAGAATTACCAAGACAAGGACAGTTCTTCCACTCCTCAGAATGTGATCTCAGGATTTTGCTTGCTTTGTCTTTCAAGTATGGAGCGCAGTCAGCTTGGAGCAAAGTGCAAAGCCTAGACACAGCTCCAACCTCCAACATTTCCTGAAGCACTATGTTGGTTCCTGAGTACTTGCAGATCAAAGAAAGGATCAAAATGGCTCGGTCGTCTGCAGACGGTGAAACCCTCAAGAGTTTCTTCGACACAACAAAGATGCCTCCTTTGTGGCTCAGAAACTGAGCCCTCCCATCAGCACAAGAACACAAGTGAAACAATATTCCCAAAATGAGCTCTGTGGTTTTCTTTTCAGGTGCTTCAAACTCAAGCTCAATGAGCTCGTAAACCGCCCCGGCGTCGACCATCTTGACTCGGTTTCTTCCCCATGGACAAGCGTCTAACATGATATGTAGAGCTGCGTTTGTCCCTTGTTGCGTAATTCCGTTTCTCAAAACCCCAACAAGTTTCTTGAAGAAATCAGGGTTCAGAGTTTCTAGCACACTTGAGTGTGCCTTTTGGATCATCGATTTTAGTACCAAGACTGCATGTGTGCTCACCGCGATTTGATTCTGCAATTTGCAACCAAAAACCCACGTCAACGAATCGATAATCTGATCGTTTTCCATGAAAAGAAGACTTAGTTCTTCGGATGAAATCCGAACAAAGTGAAGTATGCTAAGGGCTTCTTCAAGGCCATCAACCAGACCCTCCTTATAACACCTGTTTGCGATGAACAACAAGACGGCCTTAGCCACCCCAGCGTCAACCAAGTACTTCCTATTCCCTTCACTTTCGGTCGCGAGGAACTCGATTTTTCGAATGATTTTCAGTTGGAGCTTAGGGTTCCAGAAGTCCTTGAGGAGCTTAAGGACTTGAGCCTTATCCAGAGGCGGTTTCGGGGTTGGTATTCGATCAATGCCATGAGACGCATTGTCAGTGCACCAAGCCTGAATTAAGCGGCGTAAGGTGTGGTTAGGAGTTAATTCTGAGTCTCTTGGGAGAGGCTGTTTAGTGACGGGGCATGTGGTGTTCTTGCTCTGGAAAAGCCAGTGCTCGATGCTGTACCGGTCATATGTGATGCCGGTAATGGCCGTCACAGGGTCTTGCATGATCTGAAGAGATATTGGGCAGACGAAATACTGAGGAACTTCAATATCATCCATGAAAAAAAAATGTGTAAGTTGGTGGAGAAGAAGATGAAGAATTAACAAGAACAGAAGTTGATAGATCTAGAGGGGATAAGAATTAAGAAGAGCTAGCTTGATCAAACGG